CGGAGTTAACGAAATAGGTCGGAGCTGTTTGCTTATGTCTTTAACAGGTTTCTCTTTCGGAATAGGTGTAATGTTAGCTTGTTTCCAGCATGAGGGCAGTCTTTTTTGCTTGTAGGACGAATTCAATAAGTCCGATACAGAGAGAGCAAGGATTTCGGCATAATCACGAAGAATCCAATTGGGGATATCATCAGGGCCCGGAGCTTTATGCGGGTTCAAGCTTTTCAGTTTTTTCAAGACCGATGCAGTATTTGTCAAATTCATATTTACATCTAACGGATAATCAGGAATCTCCTCAAACAAGGTGTTCAAATCTGTGACATTTAAGGGATCATAAGTATTCATTGGTTCTATTAGGCTTTTGTTAATTAAATCTGCAAAACCTTTGTGTGTTAAATGTTCTGTATCTTCGACATGAAGTTGGTTAAGCAAACTGCCAGATACAGCTCTCATACCGGAGATACGTTTAACCTCTGTCCACCAAGATTTGGGGTTAGACTTTTTCAGATTAGCAACTTTTGAAGCAAAATAGTCTGCCCGGCAAGATTTTCTCATTCTATTCACTTTATTTCGGTAGAATTTGAAAAGAGTAGTGTTATTAGATGAAAACGCACGTTGTCGAAACTTGATCAGCTGTTTCAATTTTTCGGTTATCCATGGGTTGTCGTTGCGATGAAATTTAACGTGTTTCTCAGGCATAAGGATGTCATAACCCGTCTTTATTGCGGAGCATAAGATATCACAATTCTTATCGCACGGTTCGGAGGAATCGATAAGTTGCCAGTCAAAGTTACTCAGATATCGACCAAGTTCTTTTTTGCGTAATTGACGAGTGTCTCTTTTTATTACTGTCTTTCTACTTGGGGTTTCTGATGATGTTTTAACTTTGGGCTCAACCATTATCACATTATGGTCTGATAATCCGAAAGGAGGAAAAACCATGGCTGGTTGTACATCGTAAAATTTATGCATGTTTGTAAGTATAAGATCCAAAATCTTGGCACCACGAGTTGGTTTATCAACCAATTGTTTTAACTGAAAATCTCGGCAAAGATCTTTAGTGTCAAAGTGGTTAAAATCACCAGCAATAATAATTCCACAGCCTGGAAAAAGACTTTCCAGTAGTGTCAGTGAGTCTGATAGGTATTGAAAAAGATCTGTATTGCTGGAACTTGGAGGATGGTAGACGCACGCAGAAACAATGCCGTTAATTTTCCTTGGTAATCTTGGTGGTCTAATGTGTGTCCATAAAACCTCAAAGTCTAAATGTTCAATTTCAGGTAATCGTTTGAAACGGATGTAATTCTTTATGTACATGCAGACACCACCGTGGATACCAAGACTACGATCCCGCCTCACGAGGTGGTAATCAAATAAAGTCGCGTGGGTGTCACAAACGGACTCTCGCAGCCAAGTTTCAGTTATAAAACCCAAATCAAAACTTTGTGCAGATGTCAAAATACGTAGCTCGTCAAGCTTAGGAACTAGAGACATGACATTAGTTAGCATAATTTTTGGAACGAATTCAGTTCTTGGAGAATGAGTTTTGGTAATAGGAATTTTAACAAGGTTACTGAGATTTCGAGTACACATTGGTTTGAGTCGGCCAAATGCTGTCTTCTAGACCTTCCCATACCGTGTACTGTAGAAATGTTTTGCAAGGGTGTCTCCGCCATTATACAAGGGTTGAGTAGCTCCCATTCTGGGTCGAGTTTATTTTCTTCTGAGTTGTGTTCATGTCATGATCTTTTGGTCGCCATGGTTTGCAAGTAACAAACGTGGGCCAGAAGTTTTCCTTCTCCACCAGTGCACTTGAGCGAAAGGTTCACACGCTAAAGAGTAAAGGTTTTTATCCATCGCCGCTAATAAAATATTTCGTGTGAGAAAGGATCAATATTAAAGAACTGTCTGTATTAAAGTGATGCTAAATACCAACTTCGAACGAGAATCGAAAATTATCCTTTTGCACTTCAAGAGTGGCTATTAGTAAAACCAGGAACACCGGAACAACGGAACACCGGAACAGGTCTTATCTTTCGTGCTATAGCCTATACTGTGTCAGTACCTCCATGATGATATATATAGGAGTCGGGACATATATAGCCTAGTACCGCGTCGTCGTGTGCGACCTTCTTATATGTAGGCTAGTATGCTCGGTATGCTATGCCATATTATAGACGGCCAACAATATTGAATCTCAGAGCAAGCGAAAACTCGAGCGAAAACGCGGATAGAGTCGTAGGATTTTTACTCGTACTAAATTCCCTCACTGAGTGTCAGATTAATTTACAGTTTAAACATGGACGAATAGACACACATGCATGCGTTGAAACATCATTTATATATACAACTTAATACATGGTCTATAATTATATTTGTTTGTATTTTTGTCATTTTAATTGAGCGAAAGGTTTATATTATCATACGCGCTAAAGGTTTTTTATCCATCGCTGCTTATAAAATATTTCGTGTGAGAAAGGATCAATATTAAATAACTGTCTGCATTAAAGTGATGCTAAATATCAACTTCGAACGAGAATTGAAAACTTAATATCCTTTTGCACTTCAAGAGTAACTAAGTCGGTAAAAACAAGGAAGCCAATCAACTGTTGTTACTTTAATATTTTGATTGTCATGTTTTCAACAACAAACAAAGATGGGCCATTTAATATTCTCAACAAATAACAATTCTAGGTTTGATTTCTATTTTTCGAGCAAATATTTATTACTTTGAGACTGATTTCCGCCGAGGATTTCTGTTCGTTATTAGTAGCTGTCGGTCAGAAAGGCACGTTTTACGCAATAATTATTGCAGTAATACTTTCACACACCCCGGTATTTTTTTTCCGAATTTTTAACAAATTAAGAATTTTTAGTGTTCCGGTGTTCCGTGTTCCGGAATGATGCTGTTCCGGTGTTCCGTGTTCCGGTGTTCCGTTGTTCCGGTGTTCCTGGTTTTACTAATAGCCCATGTGAAGCAACTTTTTATGATTTTATTATTATTATTTATTATTATTAAAGTCTTTATTGTCTAGAGTCACAACAGACGTGCAACTTTACAAATGTCAAATTCCTATTTATTACAGTTAAAAAATTGATCTATCCTAATTAATTATATGAAAGTTAAAGATAGTCAAAAAGACATCTATTTATGGAAGATCGTTTAAATCGTTCCGTTTTAATTTGAGGTAAAATAAAGTTATGTTCCCTTTGTCTTAAAATCCTTTGTTTACACACAGGAAGCAATTCATGTAGGACATGTTCTGGATTCGATACGATTTTACTAAATAATCTCTCCTCGATCACTTCAGATATCTTAATACTCTTTGTCGTATATCCATAACCATAAGCCCGCCGGAAAAACTTGTCTATACGATCCAAATATTTCTTTTGGAGTGCAGAGCCCCACACTTCAATGCAATAGTAAAAGAGTGACATGATTAGCGAATCGAATAATTTGCTTAGCTGATCTGCAGAGTAACCATAGCATCTACACACTCTCAATATGTACAGACGCCCACTAGCCTTCGATAGAAGATCATCGATATGAAAATCCCAGCAACATGGCCGATTTTCCTGAAATCTGACGCCTAATAATTTCAACCAGCCCTTTCGTTCAATGCCTACAATCGGTGCCGGTAACGGTTTCATAGACCCACCGTGCACAACCATTTCCCTCGTTTTAGAAAGATTTAATGTCACTTGATTTGCTTTCCGACCAATTTTGAATGCTTTCCACCTCAGCCTCAGCAGAATCCGATCCTGATTTTACTGGAGCACTTGTCGTCATATCATCAGCAAATTTAACCAATAGGTTGTTTTGCGCATCCATGGGTTTTATATCATTAACCATCAACGAAAATAGAAAGGGCCCCAAACCGTACCCTGCGGGTACGCCTTTGTTAATATTAACATAAACAGTTTCTGTGCCATTAACAACAACTCTTTGTTTTCTGTTGGCCAGAAAACTAATAATCCAGTTTATAGTATACGGGTTAATTATTTCGAGTGTTTTCAATATTTCACAAATAATGTTATGAGATATCGAGTCCAACGCTTTCTTATAGTCAAATGATATTACCCTAACAGAGTCTGCACCTTCATCCAGCCACTTGAGCCAATGATGCAAACACATAATCAGAGCATCGGTAGTATTTGTTCCCTCTTTATAAGCAAATTGATCTCGTGCGATCACGGATTTGAATGCAGACGCAATCTCCTGTTTATAAACTACCCTTTCAAATAATCTCGTAATGATGTTTGTGAGCGATATAGGCCTCAACTGATTACACTCTGTTAAAGGAGATTCTTCGGGTAAAGGGTTCACATTGGCGAGCTTCCACATCAGAGGGACACATTGTTGTTCGATTGATAGATTGAACACTTTGGTGATTATGGGCGCAAAGTCTTTCCATAACCAATATGGAAGCCCATCAGGATCTGGCGCTGTTCGTTTTAGTTTCGACCAAAAACTTATAACAGTAGGCTCATCAATGGTAGGAACTCGAGTGCCTACAGGAAGTGGTATGAGTTGGGAGGATATATAATTCGCATCCGTGTTTACATTTTGAAAGTACGAGCTAATATGACTGAGCTGATATTGCTGTTCTTGCTTTTTCTGCCAGTAATTCTATTCCGAGTATCCCTCCACTTTTTGGATCCAAAACTATTTTTCTATTCTCATCATCAACGGAACGAACAAGATTTTGACGAATTAGCTCATCAATGCGTTTTTGAAGATCATTGTTGACTCCCTTCGCTATATTCTTATTCCTTATCTTACATAAGTGTTTGACCAAAGGAGACATATATGGTGGGTCACGTGTTGACATTTTTACTTTAATTAACAGGAAACAGTCATTAAACATGTTAGTGATAGTGTCATTTAATGGAGTAACTGTATCATTGACATTATTGCAATTATGAATGCGACTCCAATCGCATGTCTCCAATTTCCTCATCATACTGAACTTCCGATGAGCTCTTACGTCTCTAAAGTAGACATCCTTTCTTTCGGGTTTTATAGCATGTCGCGGAGAAACCATGACAACCAAATGGTCAGATCTTACTAGACCTTTAAAAATCTTTGATTTTTTCCAAAGATGTGGACAGTTGGTTAAAAATACATCCAAAATTTTATGATTTCGGGTAGGCTTTTTGACTAATTGTTCCAAGTTGTGCTGACTGAATTTTGTTTTTGAATTTTTTTTTTTTTTTTGTTGATCTGTCTTTTGTTTTTAATTGATTAATGTCTCCTGCTATAATTATTCTTGCATTGGGCTCAGGATAAAGAATCTGTTCTATAGTTTCAGACAAATGATTTAGTAACTCAGTCTCAGGATAAATGGGGTCAGGTGGGTGATATACTGAAGCTACGTAGTATTTAGTATTAAGTGTTACAATTTCACACCAAACGCGAGTATCTATTTGGAGCGGGTAGCGGGTAGCGGGTCGCGGGTAAAAGGAGCGGGTCGCGTGCAAAAGGAGCGGGTAATTAAAAAAAGGAGCGGGTAATTAAAAAAAGGATCGGGTAATTAAAAAAGGAGCGGGTCATTTCCCAGGTGCGCCTCGGCAATCACTTGAGCCTGTTTGCTTTCTCTTGGACGACGCTCGAGATTTTCTGTTAAGGTATTTATAATCGTTCAAATCATTCATCAATCCTAACCTCTTTATTTGAAATAATTAGTTCCTTTTATTCTAAAGGTATGTTCCATGTTTTTATTCAACTATTTCAACAATTGCCAATAGAATCATTTTAATCATTTGCCACTCATGATGGCAGCCATGTACGTAAGGCATGTACGTACGCCGCCGGAAAGACATCTGTTTTTGAGCACTAAATGGCTGTATTTCAACAACGAGAAAAGCTAAAAACTTTCAACAATACTTAAAATTTAATACAAAACGTGTTTCCAGAACGTAGAGCAGTTTTAAAGTCGTTTTCTCAGGAGTCAGAGTGCGAAGTATTTTTCGGCACGTTTAAACTTGTGTAATATTTTGAATAAGAAACTGTTACCCCGGAAGTTTTTGCTGTTAGTGGATGTAAAATACCATCCCGGAAACCAGGTTTGAATGTTAAAGTTGAAATCTTTTGATTAAAAAGTACTTTTTGTTGCTAATTTTCGCCCGAAAACAAACTTTTGACTGAATTTCCTGCTCCTCGAAGCTCTCTCTAGTCCTTTTGAAAGCTAGTTTATCCCGCTGGCCTCCCCAGCTTGGCTTCAAATTTGGCTTTAACCAATCATAGGACTCGATCTCCGGAGTTATCGTTCCAGTTTTCTTATAGCTCACTGGTTTAGACTAGTTATAGGTTAACAAAAATACGCTTAAAACGCGTAAAATCCGGATGGCTAAAATCTTGAAATTCCGATAAATTTATAGTAAAAAATGGTTTATAGTTTCCTTCCTCTATAGAGTTAGTGGTCATAACCACAGTTCGGAGAGGCAATAGCCGAGACAGACTGTAGATTTTTGAGTAGCACTTGTGTTATAATGATTTTTGTCCATTTAAGATGATCCAAAAACGTTGCGTTAGTGCATTGTACGTATTTTCAGCACGTCATAGCAAGACATGTTCAGGCTGTTAAATATCTGTCAATTTAACATTTGATAAAATTTTCGAGATTTTTTATGTGAAATCAATGGTTTCACTTAGTAAAAATAGTCCTCATGTTGTTTACACTTTCATAAAAAATATCTTATTTGCTTTTTAATTACCCGCTGCTTTACCCGCTCCTTTTTTAATTACCCGCTCCTTTTACCCGCTCCTTTTTTTAACTACCCGCTCCTTTTACCCGCGACCCGCTCCTTTGACCACGCTGTGGAAAAAAAGACTGTTCGATTTCCCATGCATTATTTCTGTTTCTTATTCTCCTTACAGTTCTACGCGATGCTTGCTTTTTAGCTGGATGATGGAATTCGGACAGGGATCTGAAATGTTTCTTTTGAATTCAACACGTTTGGCGTAGCATTTAAAGTGCCTTCGGCTTTGTTTCCACTGTTTTTTTATTTACATTTGTAGAAGCACTTTTATGCGATTGTTCGGTTTTGATGTTTTGGTTTAGATTTCTGCCCTCATGGGAAAGCTCACCTACTTTCGACTGTTCACTATTGTTCCTAACAGGGAAAACCAACTTTGTCAGGGTTAATTCCTCTTGTGAGTGATTGGCAATGGTACTAAATCGTGGTGTGAAGTTTTCTCGCATGACTGATCTATAGCCGTAAAAGTTTCTGTATTGTCCGGTACTTTTATTGGTGTGAAGCATGCATCGTTAGCGGTCCGAACAACAACGGGATTAATGTGAGGATTTGATTTACTAACTTCTTTTGTTTTGTTCGTGCCGCCGCTGCTAGTGGATGTAGAGGTTGTCAACATATTTTCGAGATTTGCGTGATTTTTCGGCTCTTTTGGTCGGCAATCGTTCATGCGTAATATTTGGTTTTCCATGGCTTGGATTTTATGGCTGAGTTTCGATTCCAAAACGACCAAGTCTAATTTCAAACCCTCCAAGTCTGGTGATAACTTCGAACATACACAACCCGTACACTGATGTTTTGTTGGTTGGTTTTCGTTGAAGGAGTTCTCGGTGTTAGTAGCCATGTCCACACTAGACTTGACACTATCGAGGTTTAAACTCGTAAACATAGCGTTGATCATACAACATTTAATTCGATTTACATCCTCTCCATTGATCTTTAGGAACTTTTCGTTTTTCCACCAAAGCAACTCGACGTTGTTTGCCAGGAAAAGTTTCTTCTCGTTCGCCGGGGATGACCAGCTTCCTTGCAACTCTAGGTCACTCTTTACAAACTCCTTCAAATGATCAAAGTCGCCAGCCCAGGATAGTCTTAAGTTCGCTGACATATCGAGTCAAAGACTGTAGAACGTTGAATTCTACGTTTCAATTATCACAAGAGCAATTGCGTAAATTGTATCACAATTTGCTTCAAATATTTCACCAAATGGTAACTTTGCCTTGCCTAACTTTACAACTTGTTTTATAGTTAAATAAACATGTCAACTCGCACGCTGTTGCTCCAAATCTCAGCAACTCTAAGCATGTTGCTAATTTTATTTATAGAAAGATAAAGAAATGCTTGATATAGCCTGGAATCCCTTGATCCATATTCTCTTCCAGCTCGTTTTCTTGGCAAATTAAAGAATAGCACGACAAGGTTCCAAAATATTTTCCTTATCCTTGGCCAATTGACAAACTTTTTAGCTTACCATTACTTCTAAAGTTTGGGAGATCCTATATGACAGTCGGCAGCTTGACATATTTGCAAACATCCATAACAACCCCCATAACTGCAAGTTACATTAATTTGATAATTGCTATCAAACCCAACAATGGTGCAGTTTGAAAGTATTACGAAAGTTCATGTGCCTAATAGTAATACGCTATTCTAAATACATATGAGAAATAGAGTCCATAGATTATTCATAGCTGCAGTATGTTCCAAACCGAAGAAAAGTTACTGAAAAATGCTGAGAAATAAGTTACCTCATTTTCGCGACCTGCTACCACAGAATAAGACTAGAATAGGAATATTAATTGAATTCAATAGTATTTCAATATGCATACACAAAATTAAATATTATTTTCCCTTGTAAACAATTAAAAGCGATTTGTTTATGACCCCACAATATTTATGATGAAGACAAGGTGGTGAAATGCTAATGCTGGGAGAAGCGTCATGTATATCTTGTTCGTTACGAGAAACGTTTTACATTTTAGGAGCAACTTTTTTTTCAATTTTCGAGCAACTTTTGAGCAACTTATTCAATTTTCGAGCAACTTTTGAGCAACTTATTCAATTTTCGAGCAACTTTTGAGCAACTTTTTAGCATTTTTAGAGCGCAGCATTTTTGTAGCATAATCTGTAGAAGCCTACTGAAGGTCGCTAAATCCAGTTTTTTTATTATCATATATATAGAGGATATTAGGCGGTTGCGAAGCGGGATTTTATGTTCGAGTGGCAAAAACAATATCTCACGTGAGCGCAGCGAACGAGTGAGATATTGTTTTTGACACGAGAACATAAATCCATATCTTCTCGCAACCGTATATAATGCTCTGTTTATTATATGGACTTGCTCAGAGTGACAAAAATACACACAAAGCCGACATGTAAATAAGCACGCGAAAGACCAGTATAAAAGCGATATTTTTTAAAATTAAAGTAAACTAGAATAAATTTTACTTGTCTCAAGATGTCTTTTAAATGTTTTCGTTTTATTTCCAACGTTAATTTCGTTTTAAATACGAACCGAAGACCATTTGTATTTTCAAAACAACAACAATAAAAATGGTTGGAAATTTTCGAACTCCGTATGTCACTAGCAGGGGTGAAATACGGAAAATACGCGCACCTGGTCCCGGATGTAGTGACGTATGAGTTCTACGAGTGTTTTAGTTTCCAGTAAACCACCATTGTCCATATAATAAAATATTCATATTATATATAAATAATATTATTAGTAATAATATTATTTATAATATAAATTTAAATATGAATATAAATATAATATAATATAAATTTACGTGGTGTTTCCACAAACAAAAACAATTATATTTTATCGCCATGCAAACATTCAAAGAACTTAATATTATTAGTCTTTAAATCGATGTCAAAATACGAAATTTCGGCACACTCCTCGCAAAGATGGTGGAAATTGAAGGAGCTATTTGACGTCAATTCCAGTCCCTTTCTATTGTTTTTGTCTGCGTGGTTAACACGAATCTGGCTTCACTTTTTGGACTTGAGTTCTCGCTCCAGATATATATGGAGCTCACTGCTTTAGTCACGTAACGTCTTCACGCGAACATGTTTAAATTTTAAGTCTGTTGATGGCGCATGCACACTGCTTGATTGATTACGTGACTTGTGCTTGTGTTACGTCACATTGCCCGGACACGGTTCTTTTTCCGTTAAATATGTTAAAAGTTCGCATTCGCAAGAAAAGAACCAACTTTTGCTAGTTAACAATGGATAAATTATGTAAAATTTAAAATTTCAATTCAATACTATATAATATAGTGTTTATAAAATTATAATAATTCTTACCTTTAAGACCCTTTAATTAAAACAGCAATTTGCGCCGTAGCATAATTCTTTAATGCCTCCATATTTGAAGATACGAATATTTACAATTATAAATAAATAATTAAAATTAATTTAAAAAAGACAAACAACACACAAACTAATGAATAGTTTCTGAATCCAAACAAATGTCAATGTAACTGGTTATTGTTATTATCTGTGAAATCGACTCAGCAACGATAATATAAAAGTTTTGTACTTGGTTATTATCATGTCCCTGCATGAATTGCATGTTTCCAAAGATCGTGTTCATCAAATTGTCCTCATCTAACGAGTTAACGTTTGCTACGAATTCCACTGGAAAGAAATCTGTGATACGTTCCCATAATTTTGTTCTTGCTAATTGTGTTTCACAACAATGCAACATAGCATGTTTTACAGGATTTGTGTAGTAGTTACCACAAGACATACAATAAAATTGTGTTTATTCCCCAGTAAATCTCACACCATTCACAAAGAATGACCCACAAAGAATTTAGCAATAATTGCCACTTGGTTGGCCATCTCGCTGTTTTCGAGAGCAAACTGCAGCCACATGTTACGCATTGGTTCTTTTACGACTTGGCTGTATAATCCTAATTGTTTATAACGTTGCGTTTTGATCTTCCAAAACTCAATCTCCGTATGATTAATATTCTCAATTACTGTTTTCTTCCATTCAGATTTGTTGGGAAAATTTCCAGACTGCAGAAAATTGTCCATATACTCCCACAAGCAATACTTCTGTAAGATTCTAACCAATTCTGGTACAAAACCAGTGATTTTGTTCGGATTCCATCTCCATCTATTAAGTCGTATCATGAATACCCTGCGATGTACACAGTTCTCACTTGCACATATTAGTCGTCTGAGAAACAGAAGCTTTCGTTTGTCTATTTCTGCTCCGACCGTCCAGAGACCAAGAAGTCCACGTGCAGCTGAACCCGAGGTACCACTAAGTAAACCCAGACATACTCTTAAAAATATATTCTGTACCTTTTCCAATTTTGATAGTTTTTCTCGATTAAGTGTCCACAACTCAGCACCGTACAACATTTTCGGCAGAGCAATCCGTGCCCACAGCTTAGTCGCCACCAATGGACTCATCCCGTTAAATCTACATCCCAGATTTGCTAAACCAATGCCGATAGCCTGACCTTTCTTCGCAGCCTCTAGTATTGGAATAAGGCTGGAAACGTCGGTGTGCCAATATTTTCCAAGATTATGCCAGATACTTTTCTCCATGATTTCTTGTTTAAACAACATACCATTTATCCATACTTTATCAAATGCCTTTGAGACATCAACATAGCAGGCAAATACTTTATCGTTTTCCTCGCAACAATGCTTAGTTGACTCGTCAATAACAAATGAAGTCGTCAAGGCGTCACGCTCAGCTTGGTAGGCCCATTGAAGCGGGTGGGGTCGACATCTTATTTTATTTTGAAGCCTGTTGAGTACTAAACGTTCGAAAACTTTGTTAAAAGTACAAAGAAGAGTAATTCCTCTGTGATCATCGAATTTTGACGCACAGCTCTTCCCTCCCTTTGGAATTGGAATCTTAATTCCTAACTTAAATTGTCTTGGAATGTCCTCCAATTCAATGATCTTATTATAAAGTATTAGCAGCTTGGCAGCCAGAATGTCCGCAGAGTACTTAATATGTTCATACGTTATGCCATCATCACCGGGAGCTTTATTATTTGGTAATACTGTTAGCACATCCTCGATCTCTTTTAAAGTTATATATGGGATCCTGAAAGATATCATCAAATTCAGCTAAGGAGTTTTTTGTTATGTCACTAACCTCGATATCGATATACTCCCTGAAGTCATCATCAAAATTTGTATTTTCCTCAGGAGTTAAAAGTTTTTCATAGTAATTAGCCCACACATCTGCTATTTCTTCTGGGTTTGAGATAGTTCTTCCATCATTCGTTGTGAGCACATTAGTTGATCTTTTCTTCTTTCTACGTCGGTTTACATATTTCCAAAACTTGATGTGATCGATCTCGGAAGCCTCATTAAGCTCTTTGAAATCATTCTCCTCTGTTTTTCGTACCATTTTACGTTGTTCCTTCCTGAATAGACGCTTTGCATCTTTGTATAACCGAAAACTTTCATACTGTTCTCCTCTTGGACGTCCTTCTGAGGTCCATTTCTTATGAAGCTCCATGCAAGCTGTCTTTAATCGCTTGAGTTCATTATTCCAGTAGGGCTTGATGGACTTCTTATACTTCGCACGAGGTAGACACTTGTCGCTGCTTTTTACGCTGCGACAGACCAACCGATAATAGTTCTCAACGTCATTACTGATGTATAAAGTATCATCCATTGTTATGATTGTATCATATAATCTCCTTTGATATTCTAGTACTTGTTCCGAAGCACATTTTCTCCACGCAATTCGTTCATACTCGTTCTCTAAATTATTAGATGATTCATGGCAGTTTATACCAGCAGAAATTTCAATGCTAGCAATCAACGGCAGATGATAAGATAAATTATTGCACAGATGTTCGTCGCCAACTTTAACACACTTTACAATTCTTTCGATGTTCCTACTCGCAAAAATGTAATCAACAACACTGTTACCACAACTTGAGTAATACGTGAACAGCGGACCCATACAGAGCATATCCACGTTAACTGGAAACATATCAAATTCAGCAAACATTTCAAGGAGTAGTTTTCTTCTATTATTTTCCCGTTGACCTGAACGTGGATCCGATACATGTACGTTAAAATCGCCTGCAATAATGATTTGCTCTTCTCTGTAACTTAATTGAGTGCACACTGCATTAAGGCAAGTTAGAGTGTCGATAAAATCAGCCAAGTTACTGTTCGTTGATGGAAAATAGATGCTACAGAAAACATAATTCTGATTATTCATTCGAAATTTAATTGCCACGATCCTATCATTTCCGAGTAATAATCGTTGTGCCTTGAGATGTTTTTTTCCCAACAATCGCTACGCCCCCCTGACCTCGCTTCCATCTTGTGTTAATATTGTTTTGTTCGCTTGTCTTTGCATAATACAAAAAATCGTTATGTAAATTGTCTAATATAGTAAGCTCATCGGCGTATAACCAATGTTCTGAGATGGCTAAAACATCAACACTTTCAAGTAACTTTTGCATATAAACGAAGTTCGATTTGATGCCTCCGCAGTTCCAACATGCAATGTTTATGAAGGCGGTTCTCTGGATGGATCTCTGTCAAATTTCACTGACCGTTTTTCCCATTTATCTTTGGAGAGCCATTCCCTTGCGTATACATTTTTCGGCCAAAAATTTGGTTGAAGAATCTCCTTAATATCTGAAGCTCTGACATTTATACGCACAGCAACGGTGCCACTTTGCCGACTTTTCATCATTCGTACGAAAGTCGGCCGAACGCCTTTTCCCTGCATAAATTCTTTTATAGTGCTCGCGTGGACCCCGTCTTTAACACCACCTAGATACAATCGTTTTGTGTTGCGCCGTTCCACGCCAATAAACTCCTTTGAATCAGCTAAACTCGCTTCATTTTTATTTTCACTTGTTTTTGAACTTCTAATTATTTCACTTTGTTTTGAACAATCAGTATTATTCGACGGCGGTCCCGGATCATTTTGCGCTCTCGCCTTTGTTACTTTCATCATCATTAACTAGAACTGTATTCATTTGTCCTTGGCTTTGTTCACAATTAATAACACTCACAATAGTAACTTGCTCATTGTCCTCATTACTACCACTCGCTATAGCGGCAAAGGATCATGGCTGAGTACCATTGTTAACAACTCCCTTGGGTCCTGGGGGTGCAAGTTCAGGGTTGCCAAACTCTACAGAATTATTCAATTTTTTTTTCGTCAATATTTTAATACTTTCCTTTGACTTTCTCTGTTCTGCCATTTTAGAAATATTTTCCATCTCGACGCAGATGCTTTCGCGCCGTAGCAATTTGTGCAGTAGTAATTGCGCTTGCAAACTCATGTATCTTACCGTCTACCTCAGGGGAAGAAACAGGAACTGCCCGCGGGGTAGGCATGAGTTAGCGGCAACACAGCCGAGCACAAATTAATCGCTTACAAATAGAACGCTGAGGGCGAAAACGCACAAACTATAAAAAAGATGCATTTTTGCTCGTTTTCACATCGTAAAACAACTTTATGCCAATTAGATAATCAACACTGTTAGCGTCACTAATTGGTTTACACGCTGAAATGACGTCATTTGTGTGCAGTCCCAACCTCGTCATTCTTAACGAACTCAGTGAGGCAACACCAAAATACAGACAATGCTGACACTGACCAGGTAATTTTACGTACATTTATTAGACCTAACCAGGAACAGCTGCGAAGGAATTGAACCTGCGGCCCTGCGATTCCGTTGCACTCGATAATTCATTTACATAACCCACCAACCATAATTCAATCGAGTGAGACGCCAACACAATCTTGTATTCATGAACTTGTGGTTAGAACTCAACAACTGTGCTATCCAGGTGATCTCGTGTTCGTATGTTAGCCAATCAGCGCTCAGATAGGGTTGTCCGAATAGAAATCCATTTTGATGTATTCAGTCAATTATATCTTTCGTTATTCTTTATGAAACTAGTTGAAATTTTGTAATTATGTTTGGTTATCAGAACTATAGCTCTGACAAAAATATGGAATCGAAATAAAGTATATTACAGGAGATATTCAGTTGTTTTAATCATAAAATGGATTTCTATTTGACAACTAGTGCCAGTACTTTTCCGCGTATCAAGATCACCTGGATGTAATTGGTTGGTTAGAGCGAAATCGAAATCACAGGGCTGCAGGTTCGATTCCTGTCAGAGTACGTATAGTTGCATTTTTCGCAGCTGTTCCTGCATAGTTAGGTCTAATAAATGTATATAAATTTACACTCGATAATTTTTATCTAGAAAACCCATCAATATTGTTACTATTACTTTTGTGATATATTTTGTGTAAAGCTTGATAGAACTACAAATCTCGACTGACGTTTGTATATGACGTTTCAGAAACTACTTCCTTTTATTCTGAATATGTATGATATACTTTTGTTTCCAAATTTCCATGCATCTACAAACCCTGCACAACTCTCCAGTCACTGCTTGGAACGCTCGCCTTAATAAGCCGAAGGTTGCATAAGGCAGATAACACAAACCAAAGCCCCCCCCCCCTATAGGGACGGAAGTAATTAGTATGCAAACCTAGGTGTCGGAAGTAATTAGTATGCAAAACTATGGTCTTAGTTCGCTGGGCAAGCCTGGGCCAACTGTGACAGGTAGCGCGACCAATTAACGCGGGAAAGCCTGGGCCAACTGTGACAGGTAGCGCGACAAATTAACGCGGGCAAACCTGGGCCAAATGTGGCAGGTAGCGCGACCAATTAACGCGGGCAGGCCTGGGCCAACTGTGGCAGGCAATCGATTAGCATTACAATACAGTAACATCACTATAAATACAGCTAGTGTCCTTTCATCTGCATAGTCTGTATTCAACGCTCACGATGGAATGTTTTCACGGTAAACCATCTGCTTGTTCTACAACTGCTCGTGGTACGTTTTGGTTTTGTGGCGAAACACCGAGCTGCGAGTTCGTTTGCCATGACGAAGATTGTTATCTGTTCACGAGAGCAATGGAAGCCTGTCAGAATAGTGGTTCCAATCATCCCATTTGCCCAACACATCAGAGACTAGCCAAATTACGTGTGGTAAAAGATAAATTGAAAGATAATTATGGAAGACCCTTCTTCACGTGTTCTGATCGACACGATCCTTGCAACTTTTGGCAATGCCCACGATTTTTACGAAAGCCCTCGACCACGTTGCAAGCACGGGATGGTATGCACCGTACGTAAAGTGAAGAAAGAAGGACCCACGCAGAACCGCCTGTTTTACTGTTGCTCTCAGATAGATAGCTGTGGGGTTTTCGAATGGAAAGAGATCGAACCTCGTGTGGCCAAGACTGGCTTCGTCCTATTCAGTGACCCGCTAGAATATCGATACAAGAATGAAGACACGGGAGAAACATTCACTAGTACTAACATTAATGCTAAGGAAGCGTATGAAGAATTCCTTTTATCATCATGAATGTGTTATGTATGTTATTGAGATAAATCACTTACATTTCTCATTTGGGTTTTAACCTTTATGGTGAGAGGTTCTCTGGTGAGATGAATAATATAAATATAATTTTTGACGAGTTGAGACAAAATGAAATTGATATCGATAAGCAGACTTTATCGTTTCATATAAACGCAATTCTCGACCACCATCGAGATCTATATCGTGCAGTGGGTGCTCGTAGTCTAAACCTTGACCAAGTCTACAGGGAAATAAATATGACAAACTTTGGTCGCATTTTTGCCTATTTAGCTTTAGTTTGTATGCAGGGTGACAGCGAGGAAAGCGTTCGAGAACATGTCCGGAAAACTATCGAGGCCTTTCGAACTTTCCATATCCCAAAAGCGAAGAGGAACAATAAACCACCGATTTTAATAACGCTCTCACTTACACTAATAGCTTGATATGTTAGTCTATGATTGCTGCATGGTTCATTTCGTTCTAGCCTCTGAGGTGAAAGGATGCCCTGTTGTGGTAAAAGTCTTCCAGAAATTTCCCTTCGAGATATATTTCGGAAAGTGCGTTGTATTTCCGCTTGCTGTGGAGGGAAAATTGTAATTCAAGCCTCAGACATTGATGGCAGAAAAGTACCTGAGCCAAATCTATTACAATCCAGAAAGTTCCGCAAGTTTTGGTGGCGTAGATTCAATTTACCGGGTCGTAAAAGACGAAGGCAAACATCAGATATCGCGGAATAAAATACGGCTATGGCTACAAAAGCAAGACACGTGTACTTTACATAAACCTGTAAGATATCGTTTCAAACGGAACCGTGTCATTGTAGGCGCAATTGATGAGCAATGGGAGGCGGATCTTGTGATTATGGACTCGATAAGCAAATACAATAACGGCTTTAAGTACATTTTAACTGTAATCGATGTACTTAGCAAATATGCGTGGGCTGAACCGATAAAAACAAAGACTGGAGAAAATCTTGTCAAAGCCTTTGACAAAATACTTATAAAGGGTCGAAAGCCTGAAACGTTTCACAGCGACAAAGGGACAGAGTTTATGAATCGAAAGTTTCAAGCCTTTTTGAAGAAACATAACATCCGGTTTTTTACGACGCAAAACGAGACCAAGGCATCGATTGTCGAAAGGTTTAATCGTACGCTCAAGACGAAAATGTGGAAATATTTTACAGCGAAGAACACGCTCAAGCACGTGGACATTCTCCAGAAACTGGTAAAATCGTATAATCATTCGGGACATCGCAGTATTGGGATGAGGCCTGTTGATGTAAATGAAGACAACGAGAGCATTGTGTGGCAAAAACTTTATGGAGAAGAGTCAAACAAATCCGTTCGGTTCAAGTTTAACATTGGCGACCAAGTACGAATCAACAAAGCAAGGCGCACATTTAAGAAAGGATACTTACCTGATTGGACCGAAGAAGTGTTTACGATAACCAAACGTGTTCTTCGACGCCCACCCGTGTACAAGATCGCTGATTTTGATGACGAAGAATTGAAAGGAACATTTTACGAACAAGAGCTTCAGAGAGTGAATAAATCAGACAGTGATTTTTATTGAGTCGAAGAAGTACTTAGATTACGCATGCGTAATAAACGTAAAGAGTATTTTGTAAAATGGTTGGGCTACCCCGATAAATTTAATTCTTGGGTACCAGCAGAGAGTGTAAAAGATATTAAATAAATGTATTTGAAACTTATCAGTTGTGTTCATTTGTGTATTGGTCTTCAATATGGCAACACAGTTTTATCTCACGCTACCGAGTAATAGTTCGTTAGCCTATTTTCGAAATAATACGGTAGCGAATTTTTGAGTGAAACTGGCTGAAACCATTGTATTGCCAGGGCAATTGGAAGTCGCATTGACGGAAATGCACTACCCCCATACGTGGAGCACGCTAAGACGTGGAGTGCAACAAACGTTTTTGTATAAAACTGGCAGTAGCCTTATCAAACTGTCGTGCTTAAAGAAACACGATATTCTTCTATCGACCAACTAACAAAAACACTCAATGCCGGCATGTCGAAAGAAACACAGACAAAAGTAAAGTTTAGTTATAATCGCAGTTCTCGCAAGGTTTTGATTGATGTAAAACACGGCACAACTGTGTGGTTTACCGGCGAATTAGCAACGGTCTTGGGATTTGACCAGGACACACTTATTGAAAAGAAAACGTCGAGTCCCTATGCTGCAGATATCAATGGTGGATTTTCCTCCATGTATGTCTATACTGATATCGTTGATGCACAGTTTGTGGGCGTTGTGAAAGTGCCTTTACTACGAATCGTTAATATCGAAGGGGAATATGGAAACACCGTTCACGCCAGTTTTCGTAATTTGCAATACGTACCGGTCAAAGTAAATTCTTTTGAGACCATTGAAGTTAATATAAAGAATGACCAAAACGAAAACGTCTCATTTGAGTTCGGGAAGTCAATCGCAACACTTCACTTTAGACAGAAGAGATCTCAGTACTTTATCTAAAAATGCGCGGAAGACTAGTTGTGGATGCTAAACTATTGAAAGACCATTTCTTGAGACAGCAACGTGGTGGGAATATCGCTGGGTTTCGTGGTGCATGTATGCAAAGAGGATATGGAATCGGAAGTATTTTCAAGAGCCTTGCGAGATATGCTATCCCTATATTCAAACAAGGTGCTAAAGTTGTTGGCAAAAGAGCATTGCAAGCAGCCACAGAAGTTGGTCAAGATGTACTCCAAGGAAAAAATGTAAAAGAAGCTTTTAAATCACGAGGAAAACAAGCAGCATCTGATGTTGCCAAGAAAGTAATGACCGGAGAGGGTCGCAAAAAGAGTATAAAAAGAGCAGCGCCAACTAAAACTCCCATTCGCGGTCCAACCAAGAAGCAGAAAACATCTCTCGATAAATATAGTCCAAAGAGGCATGGCTCTTGAAACAATGCATAAAGACTCGTGTGTGTGTTCAAAATCTGAACTTGATTTATTTTCTGTTCCACCGACTCAAGTGGTAATGGAAAAAGGATTTTGGGAAGATATTGATCCTATTACGAGTATATCTTCTTCAGATACGATATAATTTTTA